TGCCCGGCCCCTGAAAATACCTATTCTTAATAATGTTCTAAACCTTTTATTGCTTTTAACAATGATACTGATGTAACTTACAACAGCATTATTTTTTCTTCAAAACTTGTCAAAAGGATGCATGTGAATCTCTGAAGAGCAGAAAAAGGCCCTGAGGGCATATGGTTCTCCTTTTCAAACAGGCTATTTAATAAAATAATATGTGTGTGTATAAATATACGTATTTTTTTTAATGTGGGAAAACCAAAGCCACATGCTGTTATTGCATATGGTTTGCTAACATAAAAGCATAGGCTAGCTTTCTGGTATGCAAATGAACCATCTTACTGTCTCTTAGAAATTTTCAGGTTGGTTCACCGTATTACTCATCCAGCTTATATAAAGTTAGAAGTAACCAGGTAGTAATAAATACCAAACAGGCCTCTTTGCAAGTGTTCACTTTTGGAATGACTGTCATCCCCGCATTTGAGAATGGAGTGTGGCATTCCTTATTGGCTCCAACACACCAGTTAAAAGCCAACCAGAAGTCAGGGCCCACAACAGGAAAGACCCTTTGTGAACTTATTAATCAGGTTATGTGCTCAGACATTTCTTATCAGTTTGAATCATTAAACTAGATTTAAGATTGTTATTATTAGAGTATTAGTATATATGTCTCCATAAACAATAATAATGCACTGGGATTTCTACATTATGGTAATACCCGATATTGGTGCATTGCTACCAGCAAAAAACAAAAGACAAAAATAAGTGTACCCTTAATTTACAGCCAGAAAGGCCAGAAGTGTGAGAGAGAAAGAACACTAGGTAGGCTGCAGAAAGGGCAATCTGGCTCTCCCGGTCTTGACCGCCAAGGTGTCAAGATGTCTGGGAGGATGCATCTAGGAAACCACCTGTAGAATTCCTCCGTGAAGAATCAGGTCAGGAGCTAGGAAGTAAGGAATACAGGTGAGGTGTCCTCAAAGTTGTGCCAGCCTGTGCAGCTAGAGTACTAATATCATAAAATGACAGCTAGGACACAGTAAACAGCTAGCTTGACAGGGTCAGAAACCTGGTTTTATGTAAGTTGGATTAGTTGTTTCCTGTATTTTTTCTCAGTATTTGGTAAAAAAACAAAAAAAAACAAAAAAACAAAAAGAAACACTGAAAGTTCAGTCTGTCTCAGCCACACTAGAGACAATGAAAGAAGAGTTTGGGGCTTGGGTGTTAAAATGGGAATAATACGCCATGAGAGACAGCATGCAAGAGGCAGTGGAAACCAAAGCCAAGAAAACCCAAAGGAAAGGTCACCCTGGCTGCCCTTGTAGCCTCCCACCAACCTCCACATCTGGAGATTGCCTTTCAAGAGCTAAAAATCCTAAAGGTTCCAAGTTTCGTATTAATAAAGAAGATGGCCATTTCCAACAGCATGTTATATCCAAATTTCAAACAATTTATTGTAATTGATTATGTGCCAGGTGATGAAGAGAAAAGCAATGAATGCTAATAGTAATTGAAGTAGAAGGGATCAGTATGGGTGAGAATGGCTGAACAAAGCTTTAAGGATAAAAGGTGAACAACTGAAACAGAAGATAAGAACAGGTGGAATGTAGAAATGAGTTATTTTCAGGGAAGCAAGAAGATCGCTATGTCTGGCTCTATCTACTAGATTGTACATTCCATGAGGTCAGGACAGTATTTTGCTCTTAAATGTAATCCAAGCAACTAGTATAGTGCGTAAAACATCATAATGAATGAACAAACTGCTTCATTTGAAATAAAAGGAAGAGTTAAGATTAAGAAGACAGGTTATATAAGAGACCACAGAGGGCCCTGACTACTGGATTAATCAGTCTGGGCTTGACCAACTAGTTGAATTTTTTCAAGGAAAGTGGGATTACAGACATGTTAACCTCTTAGTGATCATGTTAGATTTAAGGGAGGAGAGCTGGAGGCAGGGAGATTTGATGGGGTTATTCTACTAAATTAGATAAAAGTAGTTAAGGCCTAGACTCAAGAGGTGGCAGGGAAAATGGAAGTAAGGGGTAGATATCAACAGATCATGGTAAAGGACTGAACAAATCCAATAAGGAAACAGTCTTTGTTCCTGGGTTCCTAGAAGACATTTGTTCCTGTTCACGAATACCTCTTCTCTCTCCTTCTAGAAGTTATCCATTTTTTTAAACTTCAATTATTATCACCCTTGTATGATTCAAACGTCACGTAAACTCCAGTCTCACACAGAATTCTTACCATCTCCCTCCCCTCAGTCTCAACACGCCCTCTCATAAAATATCTTGTCCCACGCTAGTTCTTTTTTGAGAATATCTATTTCTTCTTAAAGATCATGTGAAAGGGAAGACAGTAAGGAACAGCATCAGGGTTTATTGAAGATGCAGAGTTAGAATGTCTGCTGAACACAGTGCGTTAGGGAGTCAGTAAGAGATGACTATAATTATTTCTGAACTCTGCCTTAAATTCTCTGGTATAAATTACAAGTAACTAGTGCTGCATGGTTCTTTTCTAGATTTCAGTAATCAGTGTAGAGAAGGATAAACCAGACAATGAAGGTAATGTGGGAAAACAGGCCATGAAACAAAGCCAACGGGATAAGAGAATTTCAGCACGGATAAAGGCAGCCCTTGAATGGCCACGGCTCCAAGCCAGGAAGAGTCTAGTTAGTCCAGGGAGCCTGAGCATCATGTGCCACATGTAGGATTGAAAATTAAGGTTGGGAGAATATATTCCAGGTATATGGGAAAAATATGACAAACTACAGACATATTCTAATCTGCTTTGTGTATAAAAATAGCAAAACTAACCTATATGTAATTCAGATTCCATAATAGCACAATTTTCTAAGTTCTAAATGTATGAATAAGAACAAAAAGGCATAAGTTAACAGAATTATTAAAACTGATACCTGAAGAATCTGGTCTCCAGCGAGGAGCCTCCCATCTCTGGCGATGACCCCATCCCGATAGACCTCCTGGATAACAATGTTAATCAGTGGGGTCTCGTTGCCACCCACAATGCTGATTCCTAACTGAATGTAAGGATTGGACCGATGAATTTCAATAGTGGTGATCTCTCCTTCTGGTAAACTAAGTGGTTGTTGTGTAGCTGTCAAGTTAAAAATGAGAGAGAGAAAAATAGATAAAAAGAAAAACATCGGTATATATATATTGTGATTATCTTTAGGTAAATACATCATCTTAACGGATAATTAATAACTAAGTAATACCACTAAATAACCAACAGAATGACAAAAAAATCTATGTTAAGATTATCTCAAAATTTCTTCTTCCAAAAGTGATTAGTAAATAATCAATAAATAGCTACTACATATCAGATAGCTAGGGATGACACAGTGATATGATTAAGAAATATTAAAAGAAAGTTATCTAGTCCTAACTGATGAAAGTTTGGATCATGAAACAATGTAAATAATGCACGGCAGTATAAAGGAAACACTAGCTCTGCGGCATGTGAACACCACAGGTGTTGAGAAAGTATCAAGCACATAAGAAGAGGTGGGTCTTGAATGGAGCCTTAGGAAATGAAAAAGGCTTACAGCTGTGGCAATGAAAATTTGAGTTTGTAGTAGTTTGAGGGGAAAAAACCATTTTAAAAAGTGAATACGAAGGGCCAGCTATCAACATATGTCCAAGATCCATGACTATAGGCCTCCTGTTCACTTCCTAGTGGTTGTGCAGTTATAGCAGTGGCTGGTACCAGAGGCATGACATGGTTAGAAGCATGGTCTTGGAGTCGGATATATAACCAGCCATTTACTGGCTGTATGAGCTTGACCAATTAACCTCTCAAGCCTCAGCTTTCTTACTAAAAATACATATCTCTTTCATAATGCTGTTACGAAGCATCTAATTAGTAATACATGTAAAGTATTCAGTACAGTGCCTGACACAAAGTTATTATTACACTTAATTTGAACTATTATTTTTGTTCTCATTGTTGTTCTTGATGTTGATTTCTTATGTCATAAAGCAAACAAGTTTCTGAATACGAACAGACGATAAGAACCACGTGAATGACTGGTGAGTTCATGGACTACAACAGAAAAGGGATGGAGAAGGATTGCTCTCTCCAGGGTAAGTTTCAGTTTTGTTTTTAAAATGTAAACTGTTAGAATTGTACACTGAAAAGGGTGAACGATGGGGCATATATATTATGTGTTACTGAAATTTTTCTTTAAAGAGGAAAAAAGTGCATGCTGGGAGAGTAGTGGGAAGGAAGGAAACAGACGAACTCTATAAGAAGTTTCACTGCACATACTGTCGGCTCCAGCGTTCTCCTCGAAGGCAGGGTTGTCAAGGCCAGGCTCCTCAGTCCATGAGGGAAGAGAGGCTGACGTCAAGTGCCGCTCGGGGGGCACTGTGCCTGTCCCTGCGCAGTCTGTTTCTGGTGGCAAAGTACTGGGAGGATCTAGTATAGTGGGTCCATTTTCATTCTCAATCTCTGTCTGAGTTTTACTAGTTTTCCTTCTCTCCAGGGCAACTCTCCGATGAGAAGCTCCAGGACATCTAGAAAGAGAGTATCAGGTGGTTTACAAATGATTTGAAAAGAAAAAAAGGGGTTGGGGGGTTAATATCTTGCACCACAACAAGATAATGGCAATGGCTTCTATACAAAAAGAAGCTAGAAGTGCCCACAAGCAGTACATAGTTGTGATCCTAATCTCCACTCAAACTAACTTGTTACCCCTCCACATAGCAGATAAACTAAAAACAAAAAGCATCAGCATGAACAATGGCTTGATATATTTCTCAAAGAATACTTCAGTAAAAAGTGTATTCAGGTATATACTAGTGACCAAAACACCCCAATAGTTGTCTCTATACTGAGATAATTACTCTGAAATTCTGATTACATAGCCCCTTTTTACAGGTTAAACTGCTTAACCACAGCAGTGGAAATCAGCAGTCTTCTCCCTCGATGAGTGACTGTGTCCTGACTTAGAGCTCGAGTGTGCCACTGTGCTTCTACACTCTTCATGGCCACATTACACACTCGTTGGTTAGTGGGTAGTAATACATTTGAAGCTTTACAATTTGTAGGAAGGCACAGCAAGGGCCAAAATAATTTACTTTGATATGATAGACATGAAAGCGGAGAAAAATAGATCTCCTAGTTTGTGAAGTTAGAATTATAACAGTGGAATTATACATATGCTATATAAACCTGAAGAATATACTCCAAGTACTTGGAAAACATACATAAGCACCAAGAAATAAGAACTGTTAACTTGCTTGTTTTTATTTATTTAAGCAAACAAAAGGAAAAGAATGGTGTTTGTTTAAACTCATAACCAATGAAACATTTAAATAAAGGCTTTATACAACAAGTACTAGAAATGATGTTGGTTGGGC